GCCCGGGGGTGGGTGGGCGGAGGGTTGGGTGGCTCAGGGGAGGGCCAGCTGAGACGTCGGTGGTCCGGTCTTCCTCCCTCCCAATCCTCGAGGGGTGGGAGCTGCCCTGCGCAGGGGCGAAACAAAAACCCGTGTGACGACGGTCGGTGCAGGCAGGGCCAGGGCGCCGAGCGGTGTGTGCTGCCTCCCACATTGAGCACAGCCAGGCCAATATTAAGTCTGCAGTGCCATGCTGCTCTCGTCGACGCGAAGCAGCCCCAAGGTCGGCCGGAAGGGGCGATCGACCGATCCTAGCCCTCGTCCCACTCGTTTGGGAGGGCTGCCGCTGTCTGAACTGGCCCTCCTCCGAGTGGCGGGCGGGCGGGCCGGAGGTGAGAGAGGGTGGCGTGCGTGGTGCGGCCTGACGGGGGCGTTCGGTGCCATCGTGGCCGGTGGGGTGCCGGCGCGGCCGCGTGTGCGCACCCTCCCCGGGGGAAGGCATGGAGGCACCAGTTTCGCCTCGGCCCCTGGAGGCCCTCCTGGGGGAAATAATGCGTGCGGCCGCGGCGGGCCCGCCGCGCGCCGCGCGGCGCGGCAATGTCCGCCTCGGCCACGGCCTCGCGGAGACCACTGGGCCGCGCTCGAGAGGCTCGCAAGGAGGCACCTTACCAGCCTGGAACATATCCATATCCCTATGCTGGGCACCTCCTCATCACGATGCCAATCTTAGGGATTCCCTTGTTTTTTGAGGGCGAATCCCTAAGATTGTCATCGCCTTTTGGCGTGTCAATCTTAGGGATACGGATACGTTTGAGGCTGGTAACATTGGGCCGCGCTCGAAAGGCTCGAAAGGAGGCACCGGAGCCGGTGGTCACCGAGGCTGGTGCTGGCCTGCCTCTTTGGCTGCGCGGCCGCGTGCTGGCGCGCCGCCTCACGCCGGGCGGCGCGGCGCGGCCCCCCCCGCGGGCGGGGTCTGCCCCCTCGGGCTCTGCTGGCGCCGCCGCCGGGCGCCCAGGCCCAGTTGAGCGAGCAGTCCGCCTGGGTGGATGGCACGGATATCCGTGTCATGACGTGGATATCCATGTCATGACATGGACATCCATGACATGACATGGACGACATGGATATCCATGACCCCCCTCCCGCCTCTCCATCCATGGATGGGGAGGCGGGAGGCGGGCCAGGGACAAAACTGGGAGGAGAACGGGCATTCGCGCACGCGCGCAAACGCACACGCACACGCACAGCGAAGCAGAGCGGGCGCGAGGGACACGGAGAGGAGCAACCAAGGTCCGGCGTATTGCCGCATGGCCGCTTGCACTTACCTGAGTGCCGCTGCCACGTTGCGCATACCTTTGCTGCGCGGGGGGTTTCTGCAATCATGCACGGAGCCGCTGTCTACGGTCTCAAACTGTGTTAGTATCACCGCTTTGAGCTGCTGCCCTGTCGGACCGAAACACATGGCGAACGGACCTCCCGAGGGTGAGCGCCCTCGAGGAGTATACAATACCGTATCAGGAGGAGGAGGAGGAGGAGGAGGTCGGGTTGGAGGGAGGGTTTGAGTTGGACTAAAGATCGCGTCAGGAGTCAGGTAGACAGCCTCACTGGGGGCGGGTTGCGCAAATCAGTATCCGCCGATATCATTCCACGGGCCAGCCATCTCACAAGCATGATGTTCTTATTCACCAGTCGCTCTCCGATGGAACAAGAGATCCGCCATGTGCATGTGAGGGCGTCGTGCAAGCGTATCCGCACTCAGTTTCATATTTGACTGTGAAGCTGATCCGTCGGGCCTGTTAACACGTGATTCTGGCCTCGTGTAGATTCTTAGGTTTTTGGCAGTTCCTGCTGTTGCCTCTCTTCACCGCCGCTCTGACACCTGTCACGTGGAAGCCTGCTTGTCGACATTGACAACGCAGGTCTGCCTCCAGGAGTGCTACAATTCATCAGGAGAAGGGAGAGGGGTAGACAGGCAGCGGAAAAGGATAGAGGGAGGGACTGATGAGGAGGAGCATGAGCGTCGAAGGGGTACGGAGGATGAGGAGGACGAGGAGAAGGACGGCGGAGGTGCGTTGAGTGAGGAGGCGTGGGAGGGAGAACCGGTGCGTGCGCACAGCTGGCAGCAGGTAGGAGGGACGGTGGAGGGGGAGGAATGACGGATCCGGTAGGACGGATGTGCCACGGTGCAGCAGCGGAGGCCTTGCGAAGTTTGCCATCGGCAAGACGTACACGACCTGCGGTGCCCCTTTGCGCTGTGGGAGGGTGCTCGCGGCCGCATCCTCTCTGTGCTCCCCCCCTTCCCGTCTTCCCCACCCCTCCTCCTTCCCATTCCTGCGCCCCTCCCTCCCTCGCCCTGCCCCTCCTTGCCCATCTTGTCCTCCCTGCCCTCCGAGGCTGCAGAGCCCAGCGAAAAAGTCTGTCGTCCAAAGCTCTTCCCTCCCTCTTTTCGGAAGCAGGGTATGTGCCTCCTCCTCCTCCTCCTCCTCCTCCTCCTATGCTTAGCACGGTTGCCGTTTTCACCCAATTGTCTAGTATGTCTCACAATTTCTGCCAACGCACCTATGTTGTGCATGGCGTCTGTCTGTCTGTCTGGGGTGTGTGTGCCTTCACCCTATCCATTTTTCCACTGCAGAGCCAGAGCCTGTCTTCCAGTGCCGCCCACACTCCTTGGCCCGACGCAGCCTGTGACCAGCGGCTGCAACGCCTGCCGCCGACCTCTTCGCTCTGCCGACCGGGGGATCGCGGCCCGCACGCCTCGCCGCACTCGGGTCTCGGCCCCCCTTTGGGCCGCGTGCCGGCGCCTCGCCTCGCCTCGCCTCGCCTCGCCTCGCCTCCTCCCGCCCTGGCTCCCAAGGCGCTGCCGTTCGCGCCGCCGTTTTGGCTCCGTGGCCTCCGCCCTTCTCCGCAGCCTCTGCGTCTCTGTGCGCCCTGGGCCTCGCGGCCCTCTCGCCCGTGCGCTGCCGCCCTCCTGTCTGGCGTCTTTCAGGAGGGAAGACACACACAGACACAATTAATCGTCGACTCCCAGGAAAATATTGGAAAATATGGGAAGTGGGGGGGAAGACGAAAACCCAGAAAACGTGGTGTCCCAGGGCCCCTTGAGTTCTCCCCGCCCCTCTCTCGCACTTCGCCCCTCCCCCCTCTCCCTCGCGCTTCGCCCTCGGTGCCTCCTCCCTCCTCTTGACGAACGAACAACGCACACCCATACCCATAGGGGGGTCGTTGGGAGGAGGACTCGCTATGGGTACGGGTGCAGGTTGTCGGACCCTGGGGAACACTCCCGTTCGAGCGGGAACCCCCATCCGAACACACGCACCCACAGCCCTCTCCGACCCCCCTATGGATATGGGTGTGTGTTGTTGGTTCGTCGCCTCTGCTGCCCGCGGTCACCTCGCCAGTAGGCCTGGCGTCGCTCGGACGTGTGCTTTTTTTCTCGGCGAGGACCATCGCGGAGCATCCTCGAGCAACAAAAAGCACGCACGAGGCCGAAGGATGCACGGGAAGTGGACGTCCGAGCGACGGCAAGGAGGTGCCAGCTGCACAGCTGCACCTCTCCCGGGCCCAGGTCGAGCGCGTGCGCTCACTCTGGGTCCAGCACGGGCTCGGCCAGGATCAGTGGTGCGTCGTTTTGCGCCCTCAGCCTGGGCGGACGCAAGGGCGTGGTTTGGAAAAGCGTGCGCGTGTCTGCAAAAACGACCTCGCACGCCCCCCTCGCTCCGCCGGGGCCAGGTACGCCGGATTACTTCGCCCCTGAACTCATCGCCTCCAGCGGTCACACCAACGCCCTGGACCACCTACCCCCTCGCGCGGGCTCTGCCTGCGTCCGGCGAGATGGTAAGGGGGACGGAGGGATGAGCGAAGAAGAGGAGGAGGAGGACGCGAAGGAGGAGGAGGAGGAGGCTGACTGCATATGGCCCAAAGGGTCAAGAGTTACAAGTGATGACTGGCCGCAAGGCGCTCGGGATGCACTATGATCTCATCAGTAGCAAACTCATGTGGAGGAGGAGGAGGAGGAAGAGGAGGAGGAAGAGGAAAAGGGGGAGGAGGTTTCTGCGCGCACGCGTGCGCGACCCGCTTGGCCTGGCCAAGGTAACGACGTATCAACGGACGCTGGCGACGTTTGCGGCCCAGTGTGGCAGAGCGATGTAGACCGCTGACCATCCTCATGTGCATCCAGTCGTCTAGCGTCATACGATCATACTCATGCTTATGACTGTCGCGAAACGCGCTGGGAACGCGCCACAATGAGTGTCACGACTGCAGCATCATGATGATGGGTGCCAATTTAATACCTGTCATGAAACGAAGCCGAGACGGTTTCGCCGGAAGCTCCGCCTCGAGTTCGGGCGCCAAGGCGGCGTCCAAATCGAGGGCGCCGTCTTCAAGAGTTGACGCGTTGAGCTGATTGCGCCTCGGTGACCCCCACGCATGTCGACAATTGGGGATGCGCAGACGGCAGCGGGACGAACAGTCAGGCCTGCCGTCGCCCCACAGGGACTGCCTTTGAGGCTGCCGACCCTTTTTTTCGAGCCATTATCAAAATATATGCCCTGGCGTCAAAGTGCCCCCGTTCGCCCCGTCCCGCTGTTTCATGCTCGCCGTCCTGATGATTTCTCGTCGCAAGCTGTCGAAAGACAATCAACATCTGCGTGGGCACAGGTGGGGAAACGACCGCGCTGGCGTGCAGCGCCAGCTTGGACCTCGAAGTGCAGTGCGACGAGTGTTGCTGCACCCCGCCGCGTGCCGCAATACCTCCGATTGAGACTTGAGCGACCTGTCCCAGGCATTAAGGGCCCGAGGAGGAACGATCACGACATGTCGGTGACACGTATCCTGATAATGGTACACAGAGAACGTCATTTCCCAGTAAAAAGGATGGACCACACGCGTGAGAACCACGAAGCTCGCACCCACAAGCTTGATCACCACGAAACTGCCGCCGACGAGCGTGAACGCCACGGAGTTACCGCCTGAGAGCGTGGACGCCACGGAGCTTCGGCCTACAAGCGCGGGAACAACCG